TTTTTTTAATTATTATTTATTTATTTTATTTATTTTTTTTTTTCAAGAAAGGCCCATATGCAAGACCTCTATCCGGTGGTGGTAAGAGAACCACCGGGATTGAGGCTTTGCCAATCGGGCCGCTCCATCTATTGGTGGGGAGCATCACCTGCTGGAAACCGGGGCCAGCGTCCCATAAATACATCTCTGTAACACAGTACATCATTGAAACTGACACCATCGCCCCATACCCAGATCTATTCGTCCCCCTCATCCTACAGCAGGGTTGGGTATTGGGGGGGCGCACTGGGGGGGCACCAGTGGAATCTCCCTCCGTCCCCATATCCCCTGCCGTCCTCCAGACTGTCCTCAGGGCCCTAAAGCATCTCCTGCTGAAAACCGGGTCCAGCGTCCCATAGATAGGATAATGACCTGCCGTACTTTCTTGATTGTGCCACCTATTGCTGGAAACCGGGTCCAGCGTCCCTTATCAGTTCAATCAGTTCAATTCACACAGGCCCGAAAATTCTGAATATGGAAGAGACAGCAGAGCTCATCGGAGAACTAGTAGAAAACAACAGACTGAGATTGAGTATACTCCAGGTGCAGGACCAGAAAACTCGTAGAAAGCAATCAGACGAAAGAAGACCGACTGAGGCTCTTTAAAAAGCAGTCCGAGATTGAGTATACTCCGGACAAATAAGACAGATAAGTAGAGACCCAGAAGGTCCTCAGCCCCACTCCAGGAAGGCTCACGCGACTGGGAGGATTTCTGCTAAGGACAGTGGGTGGGGCAGGAAAGGGTATGTGAACTCCTGAGCCGGCCGTAGAGGGGAGCTGCGATCAATTGTAGTCCAGTCATGAAAAATCAGTTGATAATCTCTTGCTATCCCCGCCCGGGGGTCCTCCTGTGAATCCCTTTCTGGCTGGCGACCAGTCCATTTTACCTCCGCCACCCATCCCTCCCTTTCTCCCCCTAGCCAGTTCCTGCTAAATGCAGAGATGATTCTGTTCATATCTCCCCAGGAATGCAWTTGGTCGAGCTTATCTTTAGCTACCTTCCATTGGGTCGCTATCTCGTACTGAACTAATGTCCGGATCTGTTCTATGGCTTCACCGTCCTCCACCCGTGCCCCATCTATCTCAAAGCAGCATCTTTTCCACCATATGGTCCATAGAAGAGCCCTCCAGTCCCATGGCCATGTTGCGCCACATTTTCCTCAAAAGTATTCCCTCGGATTGGGGGGTAGTATCCTAACAGAAGAGCCCTCCAGTCCCATGGCCATGTTGCGCCAGGAACTATGTGGCGTCGTATCCTATCCCAGCTCCTCCACAGTAATACTCAGGCGGGGCATTGGAGGAAGATATGCTCAATGGTCTCGGCCCGCCTCCGCCCAGGATAGCTCGAGAGGCACTTCTGGCACCATGGCAGTGCCTTCCCTTGTTGTTCCAGACGRGTGTGGTCTRTTAGCCARTCATTAGTTGGAAGGCACCTGTGCTCGATCTGCCACTGGAGAGCGGAGATTTTGGCTGGTCTGTTGCTATACTGTGCAAACCACCGGATGGGTTTCAAAAGTTTACGGTCAACGTTGAGGTGGCGATACCATCTGTCCTCTACACGATCCCGCAGGTTGCATTTGGGTCTGAGCATTCGGTACACCGATTTGGATTTTAAGCTTTGTAGTGTTAGTGTGTTGGATTCCCTTCTCCCGGTCGGTGAGTTCAGGATCCAACACCACTCATCAGGGTTCAGGGGGAGGTCCTCAATCGGGACCATTGGTCGGAACCTCCTCTGGCGCCTTCGTTCTCTGTAACCCTGATGCGATACACCTTTTTTTTGTTCTTCCAAATGAAGGGTTGTTGTTTGCTTCGCAATTCCTCGTCCTGCAAAACGGAAAAAACTTCTATAAGTACGTGGGACTGGTCGGCGAGGTGTATATGTCCCACTTCCTGTTCTCGGTCAGGTAAGCCCACCCTTCATGCAGGGTCCTTTTTTGAGGGTGGTATACCAACGAAGGGGAAAACTGTCAATCAACTCCTCCAATGCCCTCTCAGTGAAGTGACAATACCGTAATGTTGCTCGTATCCTACTCTTCCGGTCCTTTTCCTCTGTGTCCCAAAGGTCCCCGACCCTTCGTATACCGTGCTTCACTCATCCCTTCCATGGAGAGTCCAAGGCGTTCCCCACTTGTCCCTCGGAATTTATTATTAGACGGTTACCAAATAGGGGTTGCCGGTATATTTCCTCCCATTTTTCTGGTGTCGGTCTGTCGGGGGGGGGGAGCTTCCTCCATGTGTGTATAAGACGTAGCCAGAATTTGTCTGTGGGGTCCCCGTTTCTATATTTCCTGGTTAACCTCCAGTACCTGTCCTCCAACCACACACAGGGGTGAATTTCGGGTGGGGATTCTGAGGCGAGATCGGAGATTTTTGCCAGGGCAAAAGTGACCCATGGAGAGGTCGGAGAAAAAATAATGTGTTGAAGCCAGCGAATTGAGAGCGCTTGGAATTGTGTGGCTGGATCCACAATTCCTAATCCGCCTCTGTTCTTAGGTTGGATTACTGAATCCCATGCCACCCGGCTTATCGCACGGGCGTTATTGCTATCCCCCCTCCACAGGAAGGCCGCTAACTGTTGTTTGAGTGTTTTAAGCCCCCCGTTACTCATTGGTCATAGGATGACCTTGTAACAGAGTGTGGCCAGGACCACATTGTTGATGACGAGAGCTCGCCCGAAGATGGACGTACGCTGATTGTTCCATTTTTCAAGTTTAACTTGTGTTGGTCCCATCAACCACTCATCGTTAGATGCTGGCCTTCCTTTAGCGGTGACTAATACCCCTAGGATTCTAAGGGGGTCATCAGGGGGTAGCCATGTAATTTATGGGTTTTC